CCTTCAAGTCTTGGTACCAAATCCCAGACTTCATTTCTCTCGAACTGACCAAGTTCATCTTACATAGCATTAATCCAAAACTCATCATTCAAAGCTTCCTTCACATTCTTTGGTTCAATATTTGACATAAAACAAGCATTTGTTACAACTTCCCTTGATCTGGTGACTACTCCTTGTCTAGTATTTCATATTATAAGTTTCTTAGGATGACCTTTTTGAAGTCTGAGAGAGGGTCCTTTGTCAGCTACCATAGGTTCTTCAATTTTAGAATTGGCACTTGAGCCTGCAACGCCTTTGATTTCACTCTTTGACCCATCTCCAAAAGTGACATAGCTAGTAGCACGTGGTTTAATGTCCACTAGGAATTTATTAACACCTATCATGTGTCTATAACAACCACTATCAAAATACCAATCCTCCCTAGTTAAATCTTTGAGAGAGGTGTAGGATATGAGACCACACAAATAATGTTGAGGAGCTCTTTTTGACTTTGCCTCAATATGAACAAATTTTCTTCTATGATAAGGCATATGGTTGGGATAGCCATACAGTTTGTAACAATAGGGTTGTAAGTGACCAAACAATCCACAATAATAACATCTTCATGGATGGTACATGGGATTATAATACCTTCTCTGATGTCTTGGCTGATGTTGGGACATGTGACTTGAAATCTTCTGCTCTTGTTTCATCTTTTGAGGAAAAAAACTCTACTACTTGTTTGTTGCTCTTCACAACTCGGTTACTATAACCAAGACCTTCATATTCCCAACATTCTTCCTAGTTTGAAGAATCTTATCCAGCACAATAGATCCATTGTTTAGCACTCTTACAAATTTGGTAATATTGTCAAGTTTTAATTTTTGCAATATTACCTCCTCTTTAAGATTATCAATGATAAAAAAAATGCTCTTCTTTCTCAGCCTCCAGTTAATCAATAAGTATCTTTTGCTCCAATACTTCCTGACACATTCTTTCATTCTTGAGGCACATATTTTTGAACCTGGCATCCAATTCACTAATAGTGATTTCTCCATTATATGATTCTTTATCAAACTCACAAGTTCCAGTCAAGACAGTCACTTGCTTGAATGATTCTTCTTCATGATCACTTTCATATTCTCCCTCTGACCATGATACATATAAGCTCTTCGCTTACTTTTTGAGATAGGTGGCACATTCAGTTCTTATGTGTCCATATCCCTCACATTTATGGCACTGAATACCTTTCCCTTGGCTTGCCTTCTCTTCAAATTTTGACTTCCTTCCCACGTCCTGGTTTTTGTTGATGTCGAATGATATGTTCTTAGCATTTAACCTAGACTTCCTCAACACCCTGTTAAACTGTCTTCCCAGTAGCACAAGGTCTTCAGATACTCCTTTTGAGTAAACATTTCCTTTATCCTCTGAGTTTTCAATATTAGAGGAAAAAGTTATACTCTTCTTTTTTTTCCAGACCTCTCATTGATAACAGATTCAAAGGTCTTAAGAGAGCTTACAAGTTTATCCATAATCATAGTGCTTACATCATGGGATTCTTCTATGGTAATCACCTTCATGTCAAACCTCTTTGGAAGAGATATGAGCATCTTCCTGATCAGCTTATCCTCTGATATCTTCTCTCCCAGGTCTTCTGAGTCATTAGTAATGTCTAGAATAGTCATGTGAAAGTCCTAAATACTTTCATCCTCTTTCATCTTCAAGTTCTCAAATTTTATCGAGAGAAGTTGAAGTTTTTCCATCTTCACCTTAGGATTTCCTTCATGAATCTTCCTTAAGGTCTCCCAAGAAACTTTAGCATGCTTACAGTTCTTTATCAGCTTGAACATATTCTTATCAACTCCATTGAATATGGCATTCAATGCTTTGGAGTTGCCTTGGGCTGATAACTCATCAACATCATTCCAATTTTCTTTAGGCTTCATCACATCAGTAACCTTATCATCTGCATCCACAATCTTTGGTGGTTCCCATCCTTTGACAACATTTTTTCAGGCCTTGTTGACCAAGGATTTTATGCACATATCTATACGAGGTTTCCAACTGTCATAGTTGGTACCATCCAAAATAGGTATTTTAACCACAATACCTTCATCCTTGTCCATTGCACCAGAAAGTAACTTCCCTGAATCTCACCCAGAGTGAGAGCATGCTGCCTGCTATGATACCAATTAAAATTCTGGTTGTCAGATCCCGAATGTCCTAAGAGATGTCGAAAAACCAGATCCGATTTCAACACGCAACAACAATATGTATAAACAAAATAAACAGTGTTGAAGGTAAATAATACACAAATATGTTTACCCAGTTCGGTGACAACAACACCTAATCTGGGGGCTACCAAGCCAGAGACGAAATTAACTAGATAGTATCAATTTGTAGACCTCATAACAAACATCACAGTTTACAGCCCACGCACTTAATCACTACCTTTTAGTTAACTTCTATCTAAGACACACCTAGGTATGAGGCCCTCTTCAAATCCCTCTTTAATTACACTCAGTAATTGGAGCAACTCTAAACACAATTAGAGAACAAAACCAGAAGTCACTCTTTCAAGACACATAAAAATCAATGCTTAAAAGCTTATGAGAATTGACACACAAATACTCAATACTTAACAGCTTATGAGCATCTGACACACAAATGTTCAATGCTTAAAAGCTTATGAACATATGACAGTAACTTACAACCCAACAATAAGGATTCTAAAACCCTAACATAACACACACGTAAGTTCCACCTAATACTAGGTATACACCAGCCTATTTATAACATTATTCAGGACTGGGTTAGGCTTTAAATCGCAGTAGTGAGGCTGTACAAAGTATGCACAAACTTCTCCAAGAAAATAAGTCTTCAATCATAAGTTTCCTAAAATGTCTCCATATTTAGAAACTTTGCATATCTTTGAAAACCAACATAGAATCTTTGATTTTTCAATCTTGGATGCCACATAAGCTAACTAAATATTCTCTTAATATTCAGTAACTTACATATATCAGCTGAAACATAACTGTCAGCTGCTGCAGACGTGATGCCCTATCCTCCTAGTTGGGACATCTTATTCGACATGTTAAAAACTGCAAGTTGGAATATCTTGTTCAACATGTTGCTGCCAAGTTAGTTTTACCAAAATGTATGCCAATCATAATTTCAGAGAAATAACAACGGAGAGGACCTTGTGCATCTTCCATAACTTTGATGCAAAACACATCCCCATTGATATCAACATTGAAAGTTTCATTCAGAACAAGAATATGCTTAGTCCTGACCATGAAACTCGCGACACCCATACTTACATGGTTCTTGGTATTATCATCAGAGCACATATATTTTCCCAATGGGACCATAATGAACTCAAAAAAGTTTGGAGACCATGCATGACAGGGAACACCATAACACTGAACCCAAGTGACCCGTTCTTTATCCACATCTGAAGGTTGCCATTTCTTGATTTCCTTAAATCATTGTTGAAGCCAATCATAACCTTCCTCCAAAAGTGCTTCCATCTCACCCTCGTCCTTGTCTTCTAGGAGACAAATGTTAGCACCCAACGGCGTTACACGAATAGCAAAATAACATTCAATATTGAAGATCTCTTACATGCTATATGAAAGTCCAACATTCTCAACAACACCAATATAAGCCTTGTTAAACCTCATCATCTCAGCTTCCTCGATATTGTATTCAAGGTGTGCGAAAAGCGGTTTGGTCTTCTCACCATGTGTTGCAGTCCTGGAGTTATTTTTAACAACGTTAGCATATGAACGATTGTCTCCACACCTCTTGGTCGACGCCACCCCCTTAGAAAATGGTCTAGTATAAGGAGTTTTAGAAGGCATTCTATGCTGAGCAAAGTCGTCACCGCTACCATGTCTCTTCGACTGCGAGCCTCCTAACCTTGTTTTCTTTGAAAGCGCGGTAAGTTAACAAAGAGCTTCTAGTTTCCCATGAAAAGATTGTCCAACTTCATGGCCAAAGTTATTGGATCCACAACGTTGAAAAACCTCACAAATCTGTATCTCTTGCCTCTGACATCTCTCTTATTAGGTATTAACACCTCATTAATATCCCAAAAGTGTTTGAACTCTTCGTACATCTTCTTTGCATCAGCATCCTCTGGAAATGACGTGAAAAAGAAGGAAGTTTTCAAGCGTTTTCTATCATAAATACCAAGCCTTGGTCGTCTTGTATTATCCCATCTTGAATCTCGACCCCTGCTTCTGTTGCGCTTCTGAACGAAATGTCAATCTTCAGTCATCTTCTGTGCCCAATCTGTTGAGGAAGAAATGGTAGAAGAGAAAAGCAACCTAGAGAGAAGTTAGAGTTTCTCTCTCATGTTTCTTAAAGATTTTTTTCTTTAGATATGTTTTTAGTTGTCTTTAACATATTTTTTATGATTGTATGTAAACAAATATATAAGTTCTGACATATCTTACCCATTGATATAATCCAATGATGTAATTTAAATGATTCACCAATGAAATACTTAGTAGGTAGTATACCTTATATATGTCAACTACAATATACTTTTATGTTTGTGCACATTAAAAAAAAAGTATTTTTATGTTATAAAAATAAAACATAAAGTTAAAAAACTTATGTTGTAAAAATAAAACATAAAGTTAAAAAACTTTTATTATTTAAGACTTATTTATAAAAAAAAATTATTTTTTAAGTTTATTAAATAATTAATATATTTAATCTATATATGGTCTAAATACATCAATTATTCAATAAATTTAAATTTATTTATTTTTTATAAATAAAATCAATAAGAATAACTTTAAAATACTTATAAAGAAATAGAAACTTTAAATTAAAAACCAATTGGAGAGAGAAACATTCAAACATGTCAAAACAAATTACACAACGTTAAAAACCATTTTTACATGAGCAAAAAAAGGAATCAAAATGGGTGATTACCCCTTCCACATTTCAGTACGACGTATATAAAATAAATATCCTGTATTTTGACATGACAGAACCAAAGAAGGCAAAGTCGTCGTTTCCTTTCATTTCTGGCCTGCCACGTCTTAACCAAATTAGCGCGTTTTCCATTTTTCTTAATTATCGCTTACTTTTATTTATTTATTCTTTCAAAATATTCAACCCTTTCTCTTTATGAATATTCAATGAACACCAACACGTCACGCCTATCTTTATTGTTTTTCGAGTTCAAAGTCAAACCTCAGGCTCATAGTCGTAAATTCTCACCCACTTCTTTTTTTTCTTCTTTTCTCTTCATTCTTTTCTTTGCTTCTCGCTTCTCTGTACATAGGTATGTTTTCTCATTTCTCACTCTGAAACTTTTCAACTTTTTCGGTTTCTTGTTTAGTAATTTGATTATTGAATCGTTTAATCGAATTCGAAGCAACCTATTTTGGTGCAGAGGCTTCTGATTTCTGTGTTGCATTGCAATTTTGAGTTTTGATTGTGGAGTGAAGAGTTAAAATGGGGGCGGTTTGTTCGGCTGGGATGGCTGGGGAAAATGCCGAGTTTGGAGGGAAGACTTTGGGGTTTTCTGGGAAGATTCTTAAGAAGGGAGATAGTTTTACGAATCGGAAAGATTCTGATTCAAGGTCTACTGATCAGGGGAAAAACCTAAGGAATAAGGAAAATGGGTTTTCGGATGACTTTGGTTTATCCACTTCAGCTTCCATGGGGGAAAAACAGGTTTTTATTTTTATTTTTTATTTTTATCTCTGTTTGTTTTGTTGTATGGATTATTATTTTGTTATGGAGATTAATAAAGTTTTCACTGCTGGGTATTGGGTTTTCTATTCTACTGTTAGTAACTGCTAGTAGTAATTAGAGCCGGTACATTACACCGATATGCTTGCAATGTCTCGAGGTTTTTATAGGGTGCAATTGATGCTGTGGACCGCAATTTAAAATCATGACTTAAGTTTTAAATCATAGACTGCGTTCAAACTTGTTTTTACTCTGAATAATTGGGTTAAGTACGAGAAACTGATTCTATCTAGTAAATCACTCAAGATTATGGAGCTACCAGAATTCCAGAAATCGGGCTTAAATCTGCTTTCATTTTGAGTTTCTAGTATGGCATCTTATGATGTGTGATGCAATTTCTTCATTTGAAGTTTAGTGTTTCATGATTGATGTCTCTTCTTTTTGTAGATCAGCAGGAAGGGCTCTTTACTGAGCAAAGCTAGCTATAGGGCAGTGGAAGTTCTGGACAGTCTTGGAAGTGGCATGCCAAAGCTAAATAACAGTAGTGGGTTTGTCTCTGGCATGAATTCTAAAGGGAAGAAAATATCAATATTGGCTTTTGAAGTAGCTAATACGATAACCAAAGGTGCCATTTTATTTCACTCACTTTATGAAGAAAACATTCAGTTCCTCAAGAAGGAGGTTTTACAATCCGAAGGCATTCAGCAATTAGTCTCGACAGATATGAAAGAGTTAATAAGTCTTGCTGAGATGGACAAAAGGTTCTAGCTTCTTTAAAGAGATGTGTGCATTTTTTTTGCTCTGAATTTCCTTTGTGTTGCATATCTCTTATCGTTTTTCAATTTTCAGGGAAGAATTCAATGTCTTCTCACGGGAAGTAGCTAGGTTTGGAAACATGTGTAAAGACCCACAGTGGCATAACCTACATCGATATTTCTCAAGGTGAGTTCCCTTATACATTGCTTATTTATGACAACTAAGAAGAATATACTGACTTATCATGATTCAATTCATACATGGTAAAACTAACAACCTCTCATATTAAATCTTTGTCCTAAAACAAAATATCAGATTAGACATGGATGTCTTGGGCGACAAACAAAATCAGGTAGATGCCGAAAAGACAATGCAGGAGTTTGCCGGTCTAGTTAATTATACTGCGGTAAGCTTATTGACATTTCAACTAAATTTGTACGTATTTTATTACTCCTCAGTGAATTGATGGCTGAGCAAGGCCATAGTCATTCTTTTAGTTTCTTGCATGTCTACTACGTAACTTGATTCCTAGATCTTTCATATTATCTACTTGCAGTTTCTGTGTGTGTTATCATGTCTATATGTTTTTGATGATATTTATCTTTTACTTTTGATTTGCTTTGAGTTCTTTTCTGGTAAAGTTAGGGTTTCCATTGAATGCTTTTTGTAGTTTTTTTTCAAGTAACTAATTTTCTCATTTTTTATGTAGGAATTATACCATGAATTAAATGCTTACGAACGCTTTCAACACGATTATCAACAAAAAATTAAGGAAATGGAGTCCTTGAATCTTCCTCTGAAAGGTTAGAACTTAAAGACTTAATAATAGAAAATTCCATGTAATAGAAGCATGGTCCTTGATAGAACATTATGGCGAAAGTTGATCCATGTAGCCGACCCCACCTAGTGGGATAAGGCGTAGTTGTTGTTGTAATAGAAAATTCCAACCTCCCCTAATTTTTGTCAAATAATACTTGGTTTTTATTTAATAAAATGAATAATACTTGGTATTGAAATCATCATTTTAGTTTTTACCCCCTTCGTTTGCTATATTTTATCTTGACATTTAAGATGAAGTATATTTCGAAATAGTTATACCAAAAAGAATTAGGTTTCTAACATCTGTTACCCATTGTTAGGAGCAAGTAATTCCTCTCAGAAGATAGCTAATGATTGATAGTTATACATTCTTTATAAATGCAGGTGAGAGTATCACAATTTTTCAAAGTGAGTTAAAGCATCAAAAAAAGCTTGTGAGGAACTTGAAAAAGAAGTCTCTTTGGGCCAGAAATTTGGAGGAGGTATATTATTAGTATTGGATTAATTTCCCATCCTACATTCCCTTACCTCAAAAGAATTTTGGATATTAGTGTAGCGGTGAATGTTTTGAGGCTGCTAAGTTTACAAATTACAGAAATGACTTTGTTTGAGATAAATTTACCAGTTGACTTTTTCTGTCAAAACTCATAATCGTATTTGCTTATTGCAGATAGTTGAAAAACTTGTAGATATTGTTACCTATATACATCAAGCAATTTGCGAGCTCCTTGGTAATCATGGTATGAGCATATCTTGTATGAAATAAATGATATGTATAGTATAGTTACCTTATGCAGCAGGAATTCATCTCATATAATAAGCTTAGGATTTGAATCTGAACTACCTCTATTGCCCACATCCCTTCTCTTTTTATTATTGAAGAGAGTTGCATCCCTACTATCTCTGTGTCACGATTCTTAGTAAAGCACACTGACCATAGATTAATTTTTTCAATCTTTGTTTGCTCTTCATTAAAAAATAAAATAAAATCTTTTTGATGCTCTTGTTTACTGTTAGACTTAAAACTTATAATAAATAGACGCCTTTATGTTGAGTTGTACAATAATCTACTATGTTGCATCATGTGCTGTATCTTTCGTGTAGAAATCGTTGGAAGGTCATTCATTACTCATAACAGCATATTATAATTAATCACCTAAATCAATATGAAATTGTGGGTTAATGGTAGGTACTGGTGCTGTCAAGTATGGTAAAGGTCCTCAAAGACTAGGTGAATCCGGTCTTGCACTACACTATGCTAACATAATCAATCAGATATATATGATTGTAAGTATTCATCGCTCTAACAAAATTTGTGTTACCTAATCAAATAGTTATTTTTGTTTAAACAATAATTTCTGTTTTTATCAGGCATCTCGCCCAGCCTCCCTTCCTCCAAATACGAGGGATACATTATATCAAGGTTTACCAAACAATATTAAGAGTGCCCTACCATCTCGGTTGCAATCCATTTCTGTCCCAAAAGAGGTATAACCTCCATTTCCTGGACATCATTTGTCTTGCGATTTCTTATCCTTTTCATTGCCTTTTTTTTGGGTGGAGGGGGTTAGTGACACCTACTTCATGAAGATTGAGTTTTATTTTGTTTTGGATTACGCTAAATGAAACAAAAACTTTCTGCAGCAATCTTTCACTCAGATCAAAGCTGACATGGACAAGACTCTGAAGTGGCTCGTACCATTTGCCGCAAATACAACCAAGTGAGATATGCAAATCTTCGTTTGGTTTTTGTCTACACCTGTCAAATTAATTTTTTTCCCTCCTTTTTCTGGCCTGTTTTTCCGAGATGAAAATAGTCTAGAAGTTTCTGCAATTGCATGCTCATGTGTTTTTCTTTTATTTGTCAATATTGTTGACAGAGTTCATCAAGGCTTCGGTTGGGTTGGTGAGTGGGCAAACACAAGGTTAGTTATAAACACAAATCTCTCTTTGGTGGCTGTGTTTACCCGTATAATGTGAATAAATAACTAGTGGAGTAGGCGAAGCCAGGAGAGTCCATGATAACTGATGTTCCTATTTTGATATTGCAGTAATGACTTTGGTGATAACACAACCAAAGAGAGCAACCCAATTCGCCTCCAGACACTTTACTACGCGGATAAGCAGAAAATAGATCTCCACATTATTGATTTGTTGGCATGGATTCACTATTTGATTAGCTCTGCAAGATCCAGACAAAATGCCTCAAGGCCAATGCCAGCGCGCTCTCCACCCAAGAGACCTGAACTTCAGTCTAAGATGCGACAGTTTTTGATTCTATCATTGGACCGAAACAACAAGGCATTGGGAACTCAACTTTCTCAAGAGGATAGAATATTACTAGAGGAAGTAATTGCAAGGAGGAGGAGCCCAGGAGTTAGCAAAAGCCAGGAACTTGGTGTTTCCAAGAAAACTCAAGCCAGGCACCCTCTCAGGACCAAAAGTGCTGGGAGTTCACCTGTTAGGGAGTCCTTCGGCACCACACTCATCACCAACCGCCGAAGCTATAACGTTTTGGATATAATGGATGGCTTAGGATCTTGAATTCTTCATTCATATACAGGCCTCATGCTATTTTTTCTTCTTCTGAAGATTATTGGTACTTCACTTTCTTAAATGCTGACTATAATTCATCACTCATTTTTTTGTACTATTTAATCATGTATATATCCACATATATAACTAACTCGTGATCTTATACTGAAATAGTTGAATCCCATACATTGTTCGCAATCGATTTTGTCTAAAAGTTTCTTTTAAATTATAAGTTATTTTACAATTTTAATAAAAAAATATTGATATTTATTTCTTGATCATTCTAAAATTACACTCTTACATATGGTATAAATACCATTCGCAAATATACTGTCGAGACCATTCAAATTTTTGAAGTGAGTAACTTCTCGAATGAGAAATTCCTTGAAAATGATTATCCATTATGCTCTTGAAGAGAAATTCTCTAAAACTGAATTTTCTCTAGAGATTTTTTTGGGACGCAACAGAAATAATTATATTTTTTTAAGATCAATTTAATGTAACGAGATTGATTCCAAGAAATTTCCTTTTCTAACATAATAAATTCAATATCAAGAATTACACTGGATTTTGAGGTCTTTTATATTAATCTTTATAAATTTTTGTTCGCTTCAAAGTTCTATTTCTTGTTTGTTGCTTTGGTTGACCAGGATCACATGAACATGACTTGACGTGTTGTTGTCACTATTTTTTTTGATTTAAAAGATAATATATTTTTACGAAATATTATTTGAAATTTTGATCACTTTAACATTATATTTAGTGCATACTCAATAAATACACATTCATAGATCTTACAGATGAGTTTAACTTACTTGAGGTATGAGGTTCTGATATAAGAAAATCCCGTGTTTGAAGATATGATTATTTAGGTGGTATTTTCTTCATAATATCATAAAGTGAGAAATCACTCTTTTATTTGAGAACTCTATTCATCACATAGAAAATAGTGGCCGATACTTTCTCCCACCAATGAGGCGCTGATAGGTCGCAAGTTGATTGACTATTTAGTGAGTGTAAAATATAATTGTAAGTGCACGATTCACAGAGACCAATAGTCAAATCTATTGTTTCTAGTTGTTATGGTGTTTATCTAAGGCGATTAAAATAGTAGTGGAAAAAGAGACGAAATAAATAAACTTTTGATAAAAACAGATGAATAACAATGTTGGAATGTAATTCACATCAATTAACAATACTCTGATTGTCTCTACTAAGATTACTCACATGACAATATTTCCTACTTTGAAAATAATCAATTTAACGGGAATTGTCACTTTCGCATATTTAGAATCGAGTTTATTCTCTAATTTATGTCCGCCATTGTCACTTATGGGAGGTGTTTATTGCGTTAAAGTAGTAAACCTATTTTAAGAAATTAAACTCTTAACTAAATCGAAAAATAATTTTGATTGAAAAATTTAACTTAAAAGGGTTCCTGGTTTCCGTTCAGGTAATTGAATCCTAAACCTATAAATGCGTCCGCAAATAGTTATAAAACCTCCTTCTAGAAATATCAAATCTTCCTAATTAAATAACAAAGTGCTTTCGCGGTATTTGTTAACAAAAACAAACCAATTTTAGTCTTTAGTGTCAGACGAATTTCGATCTTATCCAACGTTTTCACTGCTTCACTTTCATGTAAGCAGATTTAAAATAAGTTCAGAAAAATTATGTTTAAATCAAAACAGTCCACAAAGGTGATCCTAAAGAGATAACATGTAGAGCATCACATATTGACAATCCTCACATCCCAACACTTAGTAAATTAGTCGGATATGTTTATGGAAAATAAAACATAAACGATTTTAAGGGCAAAGGTAAACATAATGACGGGTAAATAGATGAAGAGGATAAATGAAAGTAAATAAGACAGAGAAGTAAATACAAGACAAAGTAAAGTAAATATTGAATGAATTAAAAACCTACTCCAAACAAAGTCTTGAATCTGATACAATTGCAATAATTTGAAGTAAATCTTGACAGAATGTAAACGACATAAATAAAATGGTTGGAAATAAAACTTGTACAGGAGTGCTCCAAATTTGATACAAACTCAATCGACGACGTAATAATCCTCCAATGTGAAGAGAATATTGCTTTACAATAGGAAAATATATGGCTTAAGTATGCATAAGCTTGGATGAATCAAATGGTGTAATGACCAGTCACCATTTGTACTCTATTTTCAGCAATCAGTCGGTAAAAAGTCTATCATTTCAGTAACACAATGTTTCATCTTTTATCATTCTCAGTATTTTAATTTAGTTTTCATGATAAGTGGTTTTACATTGCATTTATTTGGAAATGCATGTCAATTAGGGTACTTTTGATGCTTGGTTTGGTAGTGTTAATGTCTCAGGTACACGCGAGAAAATCTTAGTAATTGATGCAAAGTCGGAGGACATTCTGTGGAAGTTAAAAGTGCAAGAACAAAAGTCTGACACGAATGTCCGTGTCACCTGACACAGCCCGTGTCAGGGTGTGCGGATGAAAAACACAAGAGAACAAACAGAAGGCTGTCACAGGCGCCCGTGTCACCTGACACGGCCCGTGTCAACAGACCTGGGAGCAAGAAATTTGACAACTAAAGCAGAGGGTCAACACGGGTGCCCGTGTCACCTGACACGGCCCGCGTCAGCAGGCTTGGGAGCAAGAACCTTTAATAACCAATGCAGAGGGCCAACACGGGTTCCCGTGTTTCCTGTAACGACCCGTGTTGGAAGGCGCAGGATAAATCATATTTTCATTCACTTTAAATAGTTGAGCTCATTAAGGATAATTTTGACTTTCCCCACGGATTTGTTGTGACCTGATACTATTTAAAACCTAGTTTTGAGAAGCATTTGATATTTTTGATCATAGAAAAGAGAGAATTACAAAAGAAAGAGAGTGAGCAAGGGTTTTGAGGAGGAAGGATCTTCAAGAGCAATCGCAATTGAAGATCAACGAAATTGATAAATCTTTGTAATGTCTACACATTGTTTTGTAAGCTTTATGAATATTATGAGTAGCTAAACACCCCAATACTAGGGGGTGTCCCTGAATTGCAAATGTTCTGAACCAAATTTCCATTATTTTTATGATATTGATGGTTTTACAAGTTTAATTTATTGTGCAATGAGTTTAATGATTTTTCTATCGGATAAATAGTTCTTGACTTAAAGTTAAGGTTAGGTCGGACAAACCACCTTAACGTTGTTTGTACAATAATACGACGGTGAAATCGCTTAGGAATGAGGATTTAACCATAGTTACCATTAAAGTCTTGGTAAACAATTTGAATTGCTTGATATCGTCGTTAATAACTAAGGAATTAGGATTAAGGATGAATATCAAAAAGTTTTCAGTTAAGAAATTAAAGAAAACAACTCTTGAGATTTGGTATTGATTCACTTTCACAATATAGCATGAAATATGGAAGAAAGATCGTCACTAAGTAATTCACACACCTAACCCTAGCATGCTTTCTCATATATTATACATCTTTAATTTTCGCCTTGTTTAATTTGCTATCATTTAATATTACTCTCACACAATCAACAAACCCCTATGTTCTTTTATTCAGTTGAGTCATTATAATAACTTGTATTTCCTACGCAGTCGATAAAAATAGTACACTTGCTATTTTCCGATCAAGTTTTTGGCGCTGTTGTCGGGTTCCGCCAAAATCTAAGTGGAATAGTAATTCAATTGAATTTTTGTTGCTCTGCAACCAAAATTTTCTTTTATTTGCTCTCTACTAATATTTTTCTAATCTTTGTATGCGAGGTAAGGCCTCAGCTGAGTTTCTTTTTGATGCAGAACCAGAACGATCATTGCGAGCTAGACTTCGAAAAGTTAGACAAGAAAGGCTGGAAGCTATAGAAGAAACATTGATAGTTTCGGAGCCTGATTAAGAGGAACATTTGTCTATTCATTATGAGTGTTCTGATTCAGAGTCTGAAACTATGGCAGTTGATCCACCTCCCATGGAGAGACTTCTAGGTGATTATGGATGAGAAAATGCACCAGCTGGCCGGATGACAATAGTAAATCAACCGGTAAATGTTGATCATTTTCAGTTACACCCTTCAATAATAAGACAAATTGAAAGGAGACCTTTCTCTGGAAAAATCAATGAAGATGCAAATAGGCATTTACAAAGGTTCCTTACTATGACCATGTCGTTAAAGATTGAGGGGCATTCTGAGGAAGCAAAGAAACTAGTAATGTTTCCGTTCACATTGTCAGAAGATGCTGAAGAGTGGTTTTACTCTTTACCTGCTGGGAGCATTACAACATGGCAACAAATGGAGACAACCTTTCTGAACGAGTATTTTCCTGCCTCTGTGTATATTCGCAAGAGATATGACATAATGAACTTTAAACATAAGGAAGGAGAATCACTTGGTGACGCTTATAAGAGGTTCAAATGAGTGTTGGTTGCATTTACGACTCATAACATGGATGCAACCGAACAAATGCAAAATTTTGTGAATGGTCTCAAGATGAAGACTAAGCAACTCAACGACAAAGCTGCCGGTGACTCAACTAACTTTGCAAAAACCACTAGTTTTAATGAGATCATAAAGGCCATAGCAGCAAATAAACATTTAGAGTATATATGATCGTAGTGTTAGTCAGCCTAAAGGGATAGTCGATTTGAAATTGGCAGATCAAGTTGTGAAAATGGAAGACCAAATCGCGGCTGAAGTTGAAAGACGACTGAAAAAATGGCTCTTGATACTCAAACTGTGGCAAAGGTTCAACCAGCTTAACTGATCCAGGTGGTAAATTGTGAAATTTGTGGAGGACCTCATTTTGCCATTCACTGTGTGGTGACTTCACAGTAGGTGGAGGAAATAAAATTTCTGAAGCAGAACAACCCCTACTCTAACACTTATAATCCAGGGTGGAAAAATCATCCAAATTTCCTCTGGAAAGATCAAGCGAATGTTCAAAAATAGGGGTCTATTCCATATCAAAGTAAACCACAACAACAACAGTATCAGCCACCACCACAACAA